AAAAAAACAAAAAAAAACACCACAGTCATTCCTTGTGCGGTGGCACAACAGCCCCTCCCCACGGAAGAACAAACAAAGAAAACCATGTTTAAATTAACCTGAGACTGGGGTAGAGAAGAAACATCAAAACGTAGAAGGAACAGAAAATAGACAGGACGACGTCTCAAACTCAGCTAACTCGTTTATTTAGTCCACCTCCTTATATAGTCTCAATCGCAAGGTCACCTCCACCAACACGAAAGGACGAAGTCTATACAGATCAAGCGCCACAGCCTTCATCACACAATGCAAGAACGTTGACGACGTTTACAGGTCGGCGCGAAAAGGCAACATCCATCCACCCTCAAACTTGAGCAAAAGGATCTTTTCTCCTACTATTCTATACACAGTTCATACTTCTGATTCATAACACGCCCTCTCCACATAAAAAGAAAAACAACAAAAAACACTGACACTATAGTTGAGCCAATACACGTGGAGAACCACACAAGGCAAAAAAGTTTTACAGGTTTTTGGAAAATCACAAGCACTTAAAACAACACAAATGACAAATATAAAAAAATTACACTCTTAGAAAGCTTTTTGAATTGCTTCCAAACTGCAGTGAAGCCTGACTTATGCAGTTGCCTAGTGACTTTATCCGCACGGTCTCCCTTAGTACTCTCTTTACATTGTTCCTCTCTTTGTGTATTATTTCCGTCTCCGACCAGAGTGCCGTGCAGTTGTTACATTCATGAATATGTTTCGCTATTTCCAAGTTTTGTGCATTGTTCTTTGCATTTCTTTTATGTTCGTTTAATCTGTCATTTATGCAGCGTGACGTCTGTCCTACGTACTTAAATCCACACTCTAATGGTATCTCATACACAACACCAGTCTCGCAAATACCGATTTTTCCCGATGAGCCTTTTTGCACTCACTCACACCTGTTTGAAATGGCGTCAGTTTACGTAATCTGAAGTCTGATCTAAAGACAGTGTCTACTTCAAACTGCCTCGCACATGCCTTCAGGTTGTGAGCACTGAGCAGGGGCGGATGCAGGAATTTCCTGAGGGGGGGGGGGGGGGGGGGGGGTCAGGTGTTGGTCAGCGTATCATATGTTTAGGAACCCCCTCTCCCTCTCCTTCGTTTTACGCCCTAAATTTTACACATGTAGAAATCAAGAGGGGGGTCAGGACATTTGGAGCCCCTTTCTAAATCCGCCCCTGGTTGTGAGAGATGTCATGAAAATAAGGGGTTACAGCAAAGCGGTTCCTTGGTTTCTGTTCAGTGTCTCGCCTGCCTTTAATAAACAATTCTAAATGCCGTTTTATAAAACTGTCATCATAATAACCTACACTTATCAACCTTTTCCATTGCCCTTCTACTGATTCAGTGATACGATGGACACATGACCTTTCTAACGCGTTCCTGATCAATGACTTTACAATCCCCGCCTTTACGGTCTTCGAATGACAACTCATTCTTGGCAAAACTGGTTTTGATTTTTCTTTACCATATTCCCAACATAACCCTCGATTTACGTGAATACGTAAATCGAGAAATTGCAGAACATTATCCTCCGGTTTTTCCACAGTAAACTTAAATTCTGGAGCCGTTGACCTTATCACACCTTCTATGGTTTCTGTTAGATTTTCCCTAAACGTGCAAATTAAGATGTCATCCACATATCTTCTCGCTATTGCCGTACCTGGGGACAACTCCTGTAGATTATCGTGCACTGCACGATCCAAAGAGTTTAAGTAAACTTCTGCTAAAATCGGTGCGACTGATGACTCTATACAAACACCTTCTTTTTTTATATACTTTCTTCCTTCGTACTCCACTACCGTTGACTTCAGATAAAACGCCAAAATTGTTAAGAAACTTTCTACCGATATACCTGAACCCGATTGGAACTTAACGAGATTCAGCTCCAATGCCTCCCTGACTCTCTGCCTCCCATGATGAGCCTCCTAACTGGTAATCAATTCATTTGAATTTCTAAGCGATAATGAATTTTCTAAGCATGCATAACTCAACCCCTTCTGTAAAAACTTTGATACCACTTTCTGCCACGTCCCACTCTCATTGATGACCGCACGAAGGGGCATTTCAGGCTTATGGTCTTTTAGGAAAAACTTGATGCCCAATGTTGAATTCATTGCACTAGTGATACATTTTGCTACATCCTTCAATTCATCCTCACTCAGTACTGCACAAATGTCTCTTTTCAACTTTCCAATGTTCCCTACCCATTCCGAAAACAATGTATCCATAGCCGTTTCTGTTTTTTCCTTGAATACTGGCAAACCGTCCGGACTTATCTGTTTCTAACAACTTTAAGGACTTCGATTGCAACTCCCTCTTAACCGCATTGACTTCTCAGAAATTTCTTTTCTCCTTTAGGTACGTTACATCCATTACTTTTTCCATCCTACTGATTGCATGATCTATAAAAGCGACCCTTTCTTCTGGGTTAACCATTCTAGCTACAGTATGCATGGAAGACATGACAAAGAGAATGGAAGAGAGAGAGAGAGAGGGGGGGGGGGGGGGGCGGGGGACAAGGACTCCTGGAGAGTTTTGCCGGTGCTAGCAGACTGTACGAATGTACGAAATATGATGGGTGAAGTTTCAGATATGTCATGGAATTCCCATTTGACTCACGTTTGTGGAAAATTGCGGAGCGTTAGCTGTTCGCTGTTCAGCCAGAAAGTGTTTTTGCCGTTTTCAGTGAGGAAGTCTATTGCGCATGCTCTTGGTTACAGTATACTGCGGTATGGTATTACATTGTTCGGAAAGTGTGCAGAGTCGTGGCAAACAAAAATTTGTCGTATTTTGGGGGGCTTGTTAAAGAGCGTTGGCTATCACTTTGATTTTTTTTTCCTGACATGGAACGTGTTCGAGTTTTTACGTATGCCGAATTTCTCTTCCTTGTTTTTGGAAAGCGTGGTTCTGCGCCACTTTTGGAATGATGATTTTAAACGGCCCTTTGTTCCTAGCAGGATTCTTCGTCACACGACCCGTTTTGTTACCCCCCGTTGTACTACGCGCTATGGGAAAAGAGTTCACTCGTATTATGTGCCCTCCATTTTCAATAAATTGCCAGATTGCTTCTTTGAGAGCACAACGAAGAGAAAGCTGAAAAAAATGCTGACCAATATAAGCTTTTTTTATAGTAACCCTTCGTTTTTCTGTTTTACTTATCTTCTGCATAGTTCTTATCTTATCTGAGTTGACCTTATTCTTTGTATACTTTCGCCGTTTCGATTTGCCGGGTCCTGTCCCACAAGCCTCCTGTGGCTTGGACAGACCCGAATTTGTATGGTGTCATGTGGAATAAAATTATTATTATTATTATTATTATTATTGAGGCTTGTACTAAATACTAAATTAAAAAGCTAGTCCGATGAGGAGAACATATGAAGAGCACAATGAAAAAACATCACCAAAGGTAGGCATATATGCATAAACGAAATAACCGGATAGCGCATTGACACAGGCATACTTCTCAACGCTGTTTTACCATACCAGTGTAAGGCTACTGCAATTTTGAGCTGGATTTTACTCTCACTACTACTTGCGTGCAACTACTTTATCAGCATTATAGTAATAATATATAAATATAGCGGCCGTATTTTAAGACAATGGGTTTTGCGTGCTCTCGGTTTATTTGGCTTTTTTTTTTTTTACATCAATGCAATTGTTTGCAAGTGCTACATGTAATCACCTTGTGTTTTTTTTTTTTTTTTATATAAAGTTTTTTCGCGCTTTGGAGTCTTGCAGAAATCTGAAGAAACTGCAAGCATCTTTCTCCACGCGATGGTTACAACCAGGTACGAAGCCGCCTACCATAGCTCGAGTCCGCAAACAAAATTTGGGATCTCAACCGATCACCTGAAGTGCTTTTCTTACGGGTGCAATACGATCTTTTAGCAGACGATCATTTCGATCGACTTTCGATAAACCATATTTTACATCGCACCCCACTGTGGATTCTTCTAAGTGTCTCAAACTAATTATATTTCAAACAAATGCAATATCAGAATATCGTCTTTATTCACACGCTTCAAACGACGGCGCCGGCTTGTGGCAGACGGCATAGGCTCCTTGCACAGGACGTCATTTCCGTTGCCCTCCAAAGAAGAGGGGAAGAAGGAGCTCCCCTCTTATCAGGACCCTCCTTTGTACCTCCCGGATTTGTACAGGCGTCGCTATTCTCCCCCCAGAAGATTACAGAAGATTGACCTGTCACTCAAAATTCTTACAAAAGCAACTTCCCTCTCCTCCTTTTTCTTGGTGTGCAAAAGTATGCGATGTGACGTCAATGCAAGGAGCCTATACTTCTTGCATTCGTCGTCTGCTGCAGGCATCTTGAGGACCGGAAGGTACACTCGTAAATATTTCAGAAACAAGCGATTACCGGCACACTTCTGTCAAAACATATATGACATTCAATCTTTCTAAATCTGTGATTTTTAGAAGTTGAAATCTTACTCCTGATTTTTGAACGGTCGGGTTTTCGTAGCGAAACCTAGCCACATGTATTTGTCCATAACAACGACCCTAGCAACGGTTTGTTTGGACCCATGACGTCACACCTACGGAGTCTGGCGTCACAGACGTCGAAATGCTGGACGCGGGTAGGTTTTGGAACGCCAATGTACAAAACCCTTACCCTGGAATAAGATCGAGTAAATTTTGGAACACGGCCACTGTTTTGACAACGGACGTGGAAAGACAGTATTCAGATGCATCTAGTACGCGACGCAGTCACGCGGTTTTGCCATATTCTTTTGAGGCACTCCCAGGCAACGTTGCTCCCAGGTTCATCAACACGTGCGCCCCTTGACTCGTCCGGCTTACCTTTCTCAGCCAATCAGACCACAGCACGTAGGCTTCGCCGCGTGGTGGGGTTAGCGAACGCCCCTTGCTGTATGCCACGTTCATTTATTCAACTCTTGTCAGTTTCGAGCGTGACTCCCAGTGGACGAAATATTCACTGACGTCATCACATTTTTTAGTGACTTTGGTGGGACCAGGAAGTTCGTAGGCGTGTTGAAACGTACAACTGGTGCAAACAAACGGCGTGATTGCACATGCACGGTTGCCTAGCGGGTAGTAGGGTAGTACTGGGGTAGTAGTACATGTGTGTGAGTTATGATCATGTGGCTTTTACTTGAGGGTTACTTACTAGAGTCGTGAGGGTGAAACGTGGAACGTGCAAAATTGCGTTCAGTCGAGTGCATTTGGTTGAGAGCCGGCGTCGTCGTGTCAAGTTGGCGTGCGAGGAACTTCGTGGCAGGGCTGTGGTGGATGCGTTGTCGTCCTCTAGTTATTAGTTTTACTCGACAACAGTCCTTCCGCATAGGTATTTAAAAATGGTGTTCGATGTTAGGAGGTACGTATTCACAGACATAAGCTACATTACACATGTTGGTACCCACGTTACTTCAGCCTCTGCAGACCTGCAAGTTCGTTACTTTTGATTTGACCCACGTCGTACAAGGTAGCTAACCCGAGTTGTAACTACCCCCTGGCTTTGGTGTGCAAAGGGCGATGCAAATAAAGTTGCGCCGCTCACGATAGTGAGCGGAGCAGGATGGGACCGACACTGTCCGGCTTGGTGACCAGTGGAACGTACTATCAGCATTGATCAGCTGCCCGTTGCGTGGAACTCCAATTAAGTGCTGTCTTTTGACAGGCACTGAAATTAATTTTCTCGTGGATGGCTGCACGCTCTACAACCGATAGAGGATTGATCTGTGACTGTGAAACTGTTTTTGGAATGTGATACGAACTGTGCTCTCCCAAGAGAAGTCCCCAGTTCCATAAAAATACCATTTTGTATTGAATCTCACTTGTGAAACCTTTGAGGGAGGAGCTGCTGCTTGCAGAAGCCACCTTCAACTGATCTAGAGCGAGACGACGGCAACATGCTTACAGTCGAGCTACGTTTCTCTCCAGGTTTGACATCTACCGCAAGATCCCCAAAGACTTGACACAGCCTACAGTCACAGGAGCTGTGATTTCGATACTCAGCTGCTTCTTCATCTCGATCCTCTTCTTGTCCGAGTTCATCTCCTACATGTCCCCAGAGCTGTAAGTGCAAACCAGGGAAACGGGGTTGCTGGCTCGAGATTGAAACGTTGCCAAGTGTGGTAAAAAACAATTTCTTTCTGTGTTCTCCTTGTGGAGAACACATTTTCTTGATCTACCAACCTAATCGATTAATACTAACACATCTGTTCAACATTCTATCGGGGATATGTCATCGGGGGTGGATTGACGCTTCCAGAGTGTGAGCTGTTGCAGGGAGGGAGATGATCATCTCCAAAGTCTGGGAAAGTATGCCTCGGTGGCTGACTATTGAACAGCTGGGCTTTGGGAGGGGACAGCCCCGTAGAATTGGCCAGTGATCACACGGTACTGAAGATTTGACTTTTTCAGTGCTAGTGAGCTGTTTGTGGACAACCCGAGCAGTGCGGACAAAATCCCTGTCTCTATCAACATAACCCTCCTCAAGCTAGACTGCAGCGGTATGTGGCCTTATTGAAAGCTAGTGGCACAGTGGCGACAACCACCAACCTTTTTTTCCAGCTGTGGGACTAGATATCCAAGATGACATGGGAAGGCACGAAGTGGGGTTTGTCGAAAACACTGAGAAAACGCCCGTCGGCGCTGGCTGCCGCTTCGAAGGCAAGTTCTACATCCACAAGGTAAATAAATATTTCCTTCAGGTTCGAGTGAGTTGATTGCCTTGCACAGTTAGCCTCTTGACTACTAATCAAGAATGCCACTTGTGCCCTGGCATCAGAAAGCCTGACCACGAATCCGGCTCGTGTTTTTGTTTTGGAGCTTGCTTTTGTGCACCTTCCAGCCGATTGCAGTGCTACCACTATTGCTCTGCACCCTCCAGGTTGTTTTGCTGCTTGGTTTTCAACAAAAGAAGGGCTCTACACGAATAGAAACTAAGGGGGACGCCAGAGTGTCGAGCTCCGACTGGAGTGACTAGTAGAGAGTGAGCTAGCTGCCTTTGTTTCAATTCACTGTTCTCGAACACTGAGTACAGTAAGGCAGCTAGCTTTGCGTCCGCCCACTAATCATTGCAGTTAGAGCTCGGCACTTTAGCGTCCTCATCCTCACACTGGTCTCCCCCTCAGTTTCTACTTGTGTAGACCCACGAAAAGCAAATGTGATGTTTGCAATCACAGATCTCAACATGGAAGTATGCTTTAGCTGATGAACAGATAGGGAAACTTGTATTTGAAAGGGATGAGTGCTCTACGTTTTCAGACAACGAGATGTACCGTCCTCCTGATAACTGAGAAACTTTATTTAAAATCTGCAGTTTGCACGAAAATTTAAAAAGAAACATTCAGTTGGCCTCCGGATGTGTTGTTTGTTGTTCTCCCCTTTCCTGAATGTTTCTGACAGTACAACACAGTGGAGAACTACTGCATGGACACATCAGGTGGCCATAAATGTGAGAGCAACAAACATCCAGAAGCCAAGTGAATGTTTCCTCTAATTTTTGCGCAGATTGCCAATTTTAAACTAAGTTTTGTGACATGTTTTTGGGGAAAAGGGCTAGTATGCAATGGATTAAACAGTTTGTCTGAGCCAGTGCAGGTCAAGGAGGTGAATATTGTTTATAACTTCGGAACAAAACTAGGAGGTGTATTGCGAGGCTAGGTTAATAAGCAGGCGAGCTGGTTAGCATTACATATGATTCTATCCAGAGACTACATACGACAAAGGGGACAAGGGACAAATGCACAGGTCTCCAATTGAGACATTTGTGTTTGTTCCCTGTCTCCTTTGTCATCTGTCGTCTCCTGTTAGAATCGTGCACTATGAGCTAGAGAATTACAGTTGAACCTCGATTTAACGAAACCCGATTTTACGAATTTCCGATTTAACAAACAACTTGGGATTCCCCGCGCAGCCTATGCGCGAGGTCTCCCTTCCTCAATGTTACGATGTTTCAGATCTAACGAATTAATTAGCGGGTCCCGGTGACTTCGTTTAATCGAGATTCAACTGTATTGATCATGCGTAAATCTACTTTTCTCTCACACATATTGTTTGCACTCAGCAAGGTGTTTATTTGGACCAGTCGGTTCATGGTCTGAAATGATATAAAAGCTCCAAAAACAACAAGGACGAAAACAAAGAAGACAAACGCAAGGCGCACTCGCAACTGCCCCAGTTGCAAGTGCGCCTCGTGTTTGTTTCACTTAGTCTTCGTCCTTATTGTTTTCGGCGCTTTTATACCATTTGTTGACACTCTTGTGGCACACACAGCCAAAGATTAAACAGAGATTCTGTCACCAAGGATGGAATCCATCCCTAGGCTCTTCTAGCTGTTTGTTTCTCTCCTCGGAAGACTTTCTTGAAATGCCAGTAATACTGAAAGATCTCGTTGAGCGGTATTTATTGGTATGTTGATATAGCAAGTACAGCTGAACATTTGGCAAACAATGCGTTGGGTATTTCACGGCATGCGATTGTGAGGGCACTTGTGCTGTCGCCATATTGTACGCTACAAGGAGGCCTTGAAATTAACAGATTGGTTTAGTTCTTTTATTTTCTTGAAATTCCTCATGCATTGGGCACTGTATTTCTTGTGTTATGGGCTCCATTTGCTCGATTGTTTGGGCATCCTAGGTTCCTGGAAACTTCCACATGTCTACACATGCTGCAGCCAAGCAACCAGACAAGATTGACATGACTCACATCATTCATGACCTCACGTTTGGGAATAAAATGGTGAGTGCTTACGCAGTCTCCTACAGCATCTTCTTGATTTAAAGGGGTGCTAAACCACATTAAAATCATCTGGTGGGCTAGTTGGCTAAACATAATGAGAAAATTAGCGCAAATACAAGGAAGGAAGAACGTTAGGACAGGAAAGAGCGCTCTTTCCTGTCCTAACGTTCTTCCTTCCTTGTATTTGCGCTAATTTTCTCATTGTGCTAAACCACATTCTGCAAAATTCTATTTATGGTCATAACTCAATGGGCTGTAAGTATTCTAAAAAAACAAACATTACATTCATGCGTGGCCGATTTCTTTATTAAAATTTTTATCAAAAGTTGATTACCTCGGAACTATCGTTGGTACACCAGAGGGCGCCATTGGACGAGGAGAAGTAGAGTTCCCGTATAGGCTGTTGTGCGTTTGTTTTCCAGTACTGCCGTGCCGCTATTCGCCGAGATCTGATCATGTGAGGGGCAAAATCCAAGTGCCGTGCAGGAAAGCCACTGATACAGCAGCTTCACCAAATTTGCATGCGCCCCGGCGTATGTTCCCCTGCTTTTACCTCCTCCTTTCCTGTTTTCCAGGAAAGGAGGAGAAGGAGTGCGGCGCCGCTATTCGCCGAATTTGCTGGCGCTACGGGTTTGAACATGCAACTCTGGCTCCTGTAGGGAGCCTATACAAAACCTCGTAAAGGAGAAGGGCTTTTCCTCTTTCCGTAGAGTAACTGCATAGGCTCTGCTTACAGAGCCAGAGTATTGAATTCCTTTCGCCGTCAACTCTGTATTGGCACAGAAGCGGTCACGTGCGCCAAGCTGGATCGAACCTTTGTGTGGGAAAGAGATCTTGCAGGAGCCGAGTTTAGGGCAGAGCATGTTTCTCGCTTTGCGTTCACAAAATATACATCCTACAATAAAATCGAGCGAACTGAAAGGTTCCTTTTCCACTAAACATTACATGTAGCCACTGGTTCCAGTATAGTCGCGTTAATTTATAATGTGAGCAATGTTTTAAAACGTGTTTTCGAAGTCTGGGAAGCAGACGACACGGAGGACGATCGCGTTGCTCACATCTCCGGCGCTCTCAGAGCGATACGCAACCAGGACCTCCGGGCACCTCTGACCAGAACAACAGCGTGCAGCTACAACTATCGAAGGGTAACGTTTTCGTCGGCCACTACGCTTCACCAAGGGCATGGAGAGAAATGGGAGACAGATGACGGGACGACGGCGCACATGTGGCGTGTCGCCGCAAGATACCGTCTCTGCTCCGCACGCCGCTTCACAGCCACGCCATCAACGTCTCCGGGTTTCCTGCAGAAGCGACAGTTGCTTCCTGCAGTGCAGCTTCGATCCAACATGGCTGCCCTGGGGGCACCATAGAGATACTCTCCTTCGCAAACGGAGCATATATACAGTTACTCTACTTTTCCTTGTCCAATGATGCCCCTGGTGTCAGTGAGAGTTTTAAGGTAATCAATCTTTTATACCTATTTGAATAGGGAAATCGGCCACGCATGAATGTAATGTTTGGATTTGTAGGATGCTTAGAGACCATAGATTGAGTATGACCATAAATAGACTATTGCAGAAAGTGGTTTAGTGCCCCTTTAATCTATGCTGGCACGAATCTAATGGCCTAGTCAGACTAGAGTGGTAGATATTGATGCAAAATTGATAAGTAGGGTCGTTTGTTAATGCCCTAGTCAGATTAAATTAGATTAATTAGAGCTGATTATATCATTAGCCTATTCAGATTAGAGGTTAAAAGGGCCATAAAAAGAAAATGTGTCTGCCTGATCGAAATTTTGTATTCATTACTTAAGCAACAAAAATGTTGATTCTCAAGTATTATGGTGAAATATTGTCTGTCTTTTATAAACCGCGTTTACACTTTGTCTTTCTGACTGTCTTAAGTGACCATGCGACACTCTTAGGCAGCATGAACAACAGAATGTCGCAATATCTTTGTAAAAATGTTGAACAGATATTTAACCTTATCTCCCAACGATAAATTGAGAATGAAAAAAATAATGAGTTATTTATTAGTATTCTTGTATTAGTTGTATGATGCTCCATCTTGTGAATGTGGCACAGTTCTGGTTTCAAACGCAACCGGGTCTTCTGTCATTTGGTAGCCATGTTGCTTGTTGCTCTGCGGCTTGCATTTATTGTGGAACATGGCATTGGTTGTGGCACAGGATTGTCCATCAGAATTACAATAAGGCACACATATAATTTGTGCAGTTTACAGACATATATAGGTACACTATTTTTGCAGGTGTAGTCATAGTATGTTGTGGTTTTCCTTCAATTTTCTTTTACCACAATCTTCCTTGGCAGTAGCTTGGCATGCCGCTCAAGTATGAGAAAGCGAGTAATTTCACTTATATTTCCAGACTCTTTGTCCTTTTCCTGGGAGCAGAATAGCATTTTCTGGTCAAAGTTAGGACAGATTCACGGCCTGTCATTTTACGATCATATGGGGACGCGGATCAGTTGATCAAAGTTGCAAGCAGTGCAGCAGAGCGAACAGTGGAGAGGAGGCGACCTCCTCTTCAGCGTTCGCTCTCGTAAGGTGGGAGGAGAAAAGAGGAGCTTCCACTGGTACTCTTAACCTATCACCGATTATAGTATGGTGACGTATTTGAAGAACTGAAAGGGAAGGCCTTCGGGAAACCGAAACTATCCTTACTGCGCTAGTAGGGGAATTGGGAGAATCAAACAAATACATATATGTGGGTTATTAATACAGGACCGGGATTTCAAACAAGCATATAAGGTCAAAATTTTCTTAAAACGTTTCATAACCTCTTTAAAGACCCTACATATTGCCAGAGATACTGTAAATAACTTCATTTTCGCAAATTTCGCTACTGGTATAATATCGCAAAAAAATGGGTTCCACGATTATGCTTCCCTATTGTAACAAGTGCATAGCATACTTGTACTACCACAATACATCACATCACCTGAGGGCAGCGACACGACGTTGCAATGTCGATGTGGCATTGTCGATGTGGCATTGTCCTGTCGGTTCCAGTTAGGTTCTATGTGCCGCCTCGTAAATGAGCCCCAGTGTCGCTTATGAACAAGGTGTACCAAGAAACACAAGACTGGCTTTATTCCCTGCACAACCGGTCGCGTTGGCTCCATCCCCTTATCTCGTGGCGCCGAATATGTTGGTCAAACGAGTTGCTGCATGAATGACAGGCAAAGCGAGCATGAGAGAGCGCTTAGAAAAGGGGACATTGATTCCCAGCATCCCGTTGTCCGCCATAGTAATGTGTGCTCATCGTGTGAACCCCTGTTTCACCTGCACGGATTCTCGGGTCAAATGGAGACCGCTGCGGATGCAAGATAATTGAGTCATACGCCATGTTGCGGTCACCCTAAAACATCTCGTTACCTTCAACTCTTTCGGAGAGGGAGTCAACATATCTAAGACCCCAACTAGTGACTTTGTCTTGAGCCCCGTGGGGCCTTGTTCGCTGAGAATGCAGCATTGCTTTGGTGTTTGCAGACATCTCCCTTCACCCCCTAATCGCCTAACCACTTCCCCGGTTTCTTCTGCCAGCCTCGACCCTGTCTTCTGTCCCCTTCCCATCCTCCCTCACCCTTTCTCCATGGTCCTCCGTGCTCGATGCCAACGTCTAAGAAATACTACATGTGTTGAAAGTTGGAAGATCTCCGTCCTTGTTCGTCCTTTTTGTTTATTCTTTCTGTAGCAAGGGATGGAAAAACCAACTCGCTCACATTTATCTTTGTCATACCATTCTGATTGCGAAATTTCGTGCGACAAAATATTTCTGAAAACAATTTGCAAAATATTGAGTCTGTGAAAACAAAATTGTCAAAATTGTTTACAGTATGCAGAATGTGGACTGTTGGGCTGTTATAGGACGATATATGACATTTTTTCGCTAAATTTAGTGGATGGTGGTCACTTGCATTGTCAGTATGTCATGTCACATGACATGGTGTCATGTTATGGTGTAATGAGGTAACACTGTAATTAATTGGTACTTAACATGATTACTTAACTCTGGTAGATCATGTGATGCCTTTAGTGATCCCTTAACTATAGCTCATAGGATCACTCGACTTGTCCTTGCTGAAGCAGATGTACTACATAGCAGTTGTTACGACACATTCAAGCGCTCTATTGGTGCTCCATTGGTGCAGGGGTAGAGCATCAGACTACAGAGTGGAGGCAGAGGTCTGGGGGACAAAGCGTTTTTTGGGGAAGGCAATTGGCTGGTTCCGGGGGAACCCTCATTATCATATGTTTTCGTAGCAACTCTTCCCGACGCTGTAGACTTGGAAACCAACCCATTAAAGCCTTAAAAAGCTACTGGGAGAGGTTATGGCTTCAGTACCTGCTGGTGTAGAGTAACCCACGTAACATTGAATGCATACTTGCGTAAATTGCATTGAAAAGGTAACTTAATGCTGAATATAACTGCTTTGTTCCACGTGTTGATAATTACAATTAGAAGTACTGCATTAGAAGTAAATAATTGCAGCATTACTTTCAGAAAGTAATGTTTCCCATTTACTTTTCTTTGAGAGCCGCCTAGTTTCACCGATGTTACATGCAGCGTATTTTATGTCTGGTGGATTCCTGCCCCATTGTTTGAGGATTCATTGTGTAGCATTTTACATTCGTCACGTTTCGTGCCTTTGTCTTTGCCAGGTTTATTACTGGAATGATAGGATGCCGTGTATTGTACAAGTCTGTTTTATTATTTCTCCACACCAGCAAGGTTGTTAGTGGCTTTCTTTGTTATCACAACCACTCAAAGTAGACGTGATCTAATAAGGGCACATTGGCAGCGAAGGAATCTAATTGAAACTTGAAGTCTAGATTTCAAGATTGTTATTCTGGAAATGGCAGACTTGAATTGCTGGGTGGTTTCATTTGAATTCAACCAAACTTGTCAGGGGATTTCTAAAAAAAAATGTTTAGATTTTTTTTAGAAATAAGTATGTGTGATGGCCTAATTCCTAGGATGATTGAAACTGCAACAAGCACAAAGCTGGCAGTACAGAAACACGGATGACAAGGGACGGAAAAGCCGCACCGGTGCATTTTTGCACCTCCAGGCCCGTGTCTGTTGCATGAGTGGTAAATTTAGTGCACTGCACTGCGCTTCCCATGCGTTTCAAGTCCTTCCAAAATTTACTGACTTAGTGGTTTTCACTGACGCTCAGCAAGTTTGTAATTGTAAATAAGACATCTTAGCTCATCATCTGACCTACCGTGACAATAAGCCCCATATTGTGTCCCCCTGGCCGTATAACTCGCCTGCACAGACCGCACTGATGTATCGTTAACGGCTTTTTTAAAACAAATCTAAAAAGTCCCCCCCCCCCCCCAAAAAAAAAAGTATATATATATATTTAATGCTAGGGTGCTGGCGAGCTGGCTAAGAACTGACTTTTTTTTTAATTCTGGAGAGTGAAGAAACAGAAGGACAGAACAACACGAATCTCTTTTGGAGATTTGTGTTGTCTTGTCCTGTTTCCCCACTCTCTAGGGTTAAAAAAGACCCTGTACTTGTGTGTTCTAAAGCTCTCTGGGCGGCGCATCACTGCCAGGAGACTTCTTGGGACGGCCACGTCTCGTTACTATGGGCACCTCCGTTCCCCGCAAAAATTTACCGTAATGTGAGTCCATGATAATTGAGGTCAAGATTTATGTGAGAAGCAACAAGTGTGGCCACCAAAAGCTGTTTATTTAGGGCAAAAGAGTTTACTTAGGCGTAGGGAGAGAATGGCAGGTGATTCATTTTGGCTGTCTCTCTTCCTTTCTCTTTTTATTTACTCTTAGAAAAAAATACAATACAAATGGAAATTCATACATTGATCAGAAGAAGACCAAGTAAGGGGAGGGGGAGGGGGGAGGGTGTTTGGTCACTGCGGACGTAACACACAAATTTGGACTAATGGAGAGGTGAACGAGACTGACGTCATCTTCAGGCTAGATCTAATTGAAGTGCTCGTTCCAGGTCGAAGGTGTTCGAGGGAGCTTCAACTCCTTGGATGAAATGGACAAATCGGAAGCCAACGGTTCGTAACCTTGGAGTTTTTTTTTACAGCTTTCTTTATTCGAAGGTTAGTTTGGAAGGTTCCCAAGTTTCAGTGACGCTTAAACTGCTGAACCTTCCAGGTTGAGGGTTCAACCAACTTCCGATGCTACCCAGAATGACAAGCCCAACGAACTTGGAATGTTTCGGCATGGTCATATGGCAGGTTCAAAATGCTTAGAGGATAGTTTCATATTGAAAGATTGTCCGAATCATGATGTTAGTGTTCCAATCACTGGGGAATTGTAAATAGTCTGTCTATAAAACTCTCAATGCTGAAATTTACCCGGATCATATCTTGAAAATCTTGAGAGATGAGCTTTCACGGACTAACGTCTATTACACTCGGTGTGCAATTACTGAATTTCTTCAGTTTTAAGGGGAATTAGTAGAGCCTCAATAATACATTCCTGGCTTACATGTTTTCCTGGTCGTGAGCACCTGTCCCATTGCACTCCTACAGGGATAGGTGTACTGATTTCCTGTTTGTTGTGTTTGCCTTCTGCATTGTTACATTCAAGAACTGCCGCAACTGCCCCACTCTTTTGGTTCCTCTCGCCTTCTTTTTGATATACAACTACATCTTTGCTCTCACGTCGGCGCAACTGCAACAGTTTCTCGTAGCGCAGGTTCGGGCCTACAGCTTTAAAGGTATTGGACAAAAGTGAGGCATATACCATTGGTTAGACCAAGAATGTCTACAAAATGTCATATGCTTAGAGTTCCTGAATAGGGGCATTGGTATTGTTCAGGAGTTAAGTGGGGGGGGGGATTTCCCTTTCCTTCTCTAGAATATTTTTCTAGAAAAGTAGGAAATGTCCGTCCTTCTGTTCCAACCCCACTCTCCCTAAGTGGCATGTAGCGCAAATGACCTCACGTCTGAAAAAGGTGGAAAATCTGCACTGCCTCATCGTTGTTGCCAGGCATGATAAGTTCTGAACCACTCGTGTTCGGACCTTTGTTGAGGTATCATTCGATAAGTGACGAGCTGCTCTAACGAGTTTAATCCCGAAAAAGCAAAATAGTTATTCCATCTTACAAAACTTTGAGTTTGAAGAAAAAGTGACCAACGAAATGTCCAAATTGTTGAAGCTAACCAATGTGGAATGGGCCAAAACCTGTTGAAACCAACAAAAGTAAAAAGCTGCGGCCTCTGGACAACCGAAGAATCCAGCTCGGACCGGTACACAACTAACCCAGAAACACACTCTAAAGAAGGAATGACAGAGTGAAATTTCAAACACATGCATAGCTTTGCGTTAAAATTCATGGTCATGTTTCCGGCCCCACAATTTTCTTGCTTTGTGCTCTGCTTCGGGCAGGCATGACTTTGGACGAGGCTTAAAAGGGCTTTTGCAATATAGCCTGTTCCCCTATTCATCTCTTCCTCTGGTTCGCATGTGTGCTTTTGTTGTGTTCACTGACGCGGCTCCCCCGGTTATGCATCTTTCGTTTCGCACAGAGTTTGGGGTTTGTAAGGGTGCATCGTGACCAGATCGGGTTGTTTTGCACCGGAGCATGTTTCGAGCTTCGCCGCTTTGCACCGGCGTGCTAGGAACAGTGGTTGAGGTGCGGGGAGGGGAGGAATCTGGGTTTACACTATGGGCTCAAAGATTTTGCTCACGCTCTAGGTAGACACTATTGTTACGATTATAGATCCACATTTTTGTTTCTCGCACTCACACTTAGAAAGAGAAATTTGTGCAAAGAGAATCGGTTTTGAAAAATGCCGTAAGAGTGTTCCCAAAAAGTTTTGTTCATTGGCACTGCTTAGTTATTTTTTTATAGATTATTTTCAGTCCACCGATGCTAAAGAAGAGGTAGAGGTTCGAGCATGTTGGACGAGTTTTTCTCCGTTCCACTTTTCGGCATAAATTTCACTTTAGGAAAACTATTCTTTGGTAACGGGACAAAAGGAAGGGCTCACTCACTGTTTTTCCTAACTGGAATTTAATGGACAATGCAACTGTGGCATTGTTTTTTTACTTTGGATGTCTTTTATAAAAGATGTTAAGACTTTGTCAGCGACATAAAAGGCAAAAAATTAATTTTTGTTTTCAGCACAATGTTACTATAAAATAAATTACTTGCACTGCTGCATATCTAGTGAAGAAGAATGTTGGGTATTACATTACTTTTCTATTGATAGTTTTCCTTAACAATGTCAGTGTGTTCCTGATAAGAATGACTTATTTATTTCACAATTTATGTACATAGATGAAACTTTTCCCTGCATTCTACCTCACAACTGTCAGTATATACTGTAAATTTCATTCATATTAAGCCAAAGGCTCAAAGTGACCCTTTTGGATAATGTTCCTCAAAAAAGAACACTGACATCCCCCAGTTTTTTTTCTGCTAGGTGATTTAATGTGGTGTCAGAAGACTACCCAATCAGCATTTTGCTACAAAGTCGCATATATTTTTAATAAAGTAAAAAAACGCAACTGCTCGAAATCGAAACATGAGCACGGAGTTAATGACTACGACGTAGTAGGTTAATGGACTGTCGCAGCTGTCAGTGTAACACTAAATTTGGTACCATTCAGATCATTGGCAGAGGGAAAGATCAGTGATTAGGGAAGTGCTAAAGACATTTGAAATAAAGGAGGCACAGATTATTGCATTAGTGAGACTTGAGTTTATCTACACGAAAAATAGATAAAGTTCCTAAGTAGTACTTGATGATTCAGCATTCATGTGGCACGCAGTATGTTTGGTTTGGTGTTTTTTGTCTTGTATTTTTTGGGGGCTGTGGTTGTTGCTGGGCTTTGTTTTACTTATGAAAGTTCAGTGCTCATCCTGTGTACTCCTTTCACGTGCTGCATGTCTTTGTGCACTGTTTTGTTAACTTTAAAAAAAAAACTCCACTACAATTTTTTTTTGCATTTATCAGCATTTTTAGTGCGGAATGTGTCGCTTAATTACGAGTTCTTTTTTTTTTGTGTGTGTGTGTGTGTGTGTGTGAGTGTGTGCACGCGTGCATGCGTGCGTGCATGCGTGTGTGTGTGTGCATGTGTGTATGTCTTTTGTCTTGCATAGTTTTTTTTAGATATCGTGCCTCAAAATTTTGTTTCGGGGGTCTACGGCGAATCCAAAACTGCCGACCCCAGAAGCGGCAACCTTGGTGATCAGGTGCATGGCTGATGTCACTGTAGTACCGCGATACAGCAACACGTGTGTCTTGCCCAGTTGCAGTAGCGGTTTCAATAAGTTAGGTAAGAGGCTACAGCTATTTTACTGCTCTACTTTTTAGCTATTCAACATCTGTAGCAAATATTAATTCATATTCATAAAGTTACTGGCCTGAAAGCCAGCTCACTGCTATGAATAATAGAAGAAACAGCAAGTGTTTGGTGACGGCACAAAGTATTCAGCATGGTTGCATCGCAATATTTCGCTTCTGATGTTCACTAAACAAAAGTTTCTGATGCTATCCTGAACTAAATTGATTGACGTTTTATAGGCCGTGCACACGAGCTTTGCGTCATTAGCGAGAGCTCAGTTCCATAATCGCACGGTTGTTTGATGAAAGATGTTTCTACACTGACGCTTTGTGTTTGTTTTTGTGCCAGTAATGCCTACATATTTAGCAGCGATGGGACGAACCGGAATACCATCCTACACTCGTGGGTATGCAGTGCCCGTTTCGTTGAAATGCCCTCCAAAGGCGTTCCGTCCCTATTGCACATATTGATAATATTTACAAAACCATTATCTCATGCAATCTGTACTTTCTGAAGAAACATTTTGGTGGTACAAGACTTTAGAAATATGTCTCTAAAAAACACGACTCGCTGGAGAATCCACGTTTGAATCTGACAGTTTAGGTGTGCTGTTTTGTTTTTATCAGCTTTCTTTTGGACGTGAAAATCACCTTTTTTTTTCACATTTAGGATTATACCTGTAGGCAGTTAGGTGACTGCAAAACAAAGTGCTGGATTATTTTTTTTATCAAATGAATGCATAACTCTACAGCTGAATCAAAAGAAAAATTGCAATTAAAATAAAAACGAATACATAAGGTTTTTATTTAAATTTAGATAAAAAAATACATGATTATATAATTTTTAAATCCCTTTACCTCGAAAAGAATCATTTGTTTTTCACTAGTTGTCTTTTTAAAAACGGGAAATTGATTTTTCAGTTCTCCCAATCACTGAAAACTGTGGAAAAGAGAAATTAACTAAATTTAATTATATCGTGAAGTGCAGTTTAATTTTTTTTTAAATTAATTTTCTTATTTAAACCACGTCGTACTTAAAATTTTTAGCAAGTGCCAACTCAAAATTTGGAGATAATCATGTAAAACTGGGGCATGGGCACTCCTTAGGTCAACAATATGTAAAGATATGTCCCTTGCACCTGTTTTACATGATTAGGGAGTTTTAGAATAACTTACGCAATTTTAGCGCACACTGGCGCTAAATTTAGCGCTTGTGTTAGCGCACTCTACATAAGAGAGTTTTAGAATAGCGTTTCTTTGTCGCGACGCAAAAGCCCAAGCATTTCGCGCTTGCAACGCCACCAAGATACAGTCGCAATTTTTTTTTCACACACAAAATGCTGTAACTTGAGCCAAAAAGTTTTTTTGGTCTAGAGTAACATTTTAGACTTTTTCAAAAATGAGAATGCGACGTGAGCGGTAGGCCGGTCGTGTCCCCTTGCGTCACCTCAGCAGGAGAGGTCTCGTGTACTGACTTTCGCACACCGTACCTTTGCTGCCTTCGCTGAGAAATGTTTGCGCGAAACAAGCATCAAGTTGCCGGTGATCGTTGCCAAACCGAGTGCCATGTCGTCCCGTATTGAAAATCGCACTCTCGAGGATGCCGCCGATGTTGCACTCACGACACCGCCAAAGCGGCCGCAGACATGCTTCTGGAAGCCGCCTTTTTTTTTAACTGTATCACAAATCCTCTTTGTAGGAGTGCAAAGCAGTGCAAAGGCTTTTTGCATATGCACACAATTTCCAAGGAATAGCGT